TACTTGGACTCTTTATTAAGATCAACTCTCCAGCTTGGCTGACATGGCTCAGTGGTTGAGTTTCGACATATGAATCAGAAGGTCATGGTTTGATTCCCTGTCAGGGCACATGCCCAAGTTGCGGGTTCTGTTCCCAGTGAGAAGCATGCAGAAGGCAGCTGATCAATAATTCTCTCTCATCATTGATGTTTCTCTCTTTCTCTCTTCCTTCCTCCCTGAAAAAAAAAAAAAATATATATATATATATATATATATATATATATATATATAAAATATATGGACATACTCTCCAAAAAGCTGGCACATTTAGACAAAGATAATGCTGCTTTTCAAGTCTTAGGTTCCCAGACAGATGGCCAGCTGGCTGCCTGATGCAAGCTTGACAATGAACGCCGCTCCCCATCGGAAAGTGGCAAAAACCAGAGAGTATTCTCACTGGTTACAAACCCAAGTTTTCAGTACATAAAATAAGACAAATGGAGATGCTCATCTTATGATTTTCAAAAATGATACAAAGACAGAGACAAAAGAAAACCTGTTTCTGTCAAGCTAAGAATCAGTAACTTATGAATGCCCCAAAGCAAATTTATAAGTCATAATTCAAGATCTATTTTTAAAAATGGTTTTCTCCTGCCATTATAAATTTGGAGAAAACTCCTCTTCTGACTAGTCTGATATGGGACATTGACATGGTAAGAATTCTCACCTTCTGATGTCTATTGTCATTTATCCCATATCTCAACTGCAGTCCCTGGGGAGCGCAGACTATCCCAATCTTTTTTTTTTTTTTTTTAATATATTTTATTGATTTTGTACAGAGAGGGAGAGAGATAGAGAGTTAGAAACATCAATGAGAGATAGACATCGATCAGCTGCTTCTTGCACACCCCCTAGTGGGGATATGTCCGCAACCAAGGTACATGCCCTTGACCGGAATCAAACCCAGGACACTTCAATCCCCAAGCCGATGCTCTATCCATTGAGCCAAATCGGTCTTGGCTATCCCAGTCTTTTAATGTCCCATCCTCATAGCCAGAAACTGTACAGGATGGAAAAAATCCCTTCCCTTCCACCTTTTTAGGGTTTCAGCTGGGACTTTGTAACAAAAAACTGATTAACAAGAAAAAATAAACATGTTTATGAACATGGACATCTCATATATGCTTGGGGAGAAATGCAGGTTTGAGTAATTCCCAGAGGTGGCTAGCACTTGGGTTTTTATAGCATCTTCACCAAGAACAATACATTTTTAGAGAAATGACAAGACAGGAAAAGAGCCTTAGTCTTCCAAGGGCAGTGAACCGTGGGAAGCTAAATATATGGGGAACTAAAGAAGATAATAGCCAGTCAGTAAAGTTTGTTATGTGCTGCCTCAGGGCTGACACGCATCTATTATTGTAAGCTATTGAGTTCTGTACAATTTCCTGTTCTCCTTCAGGTACATAGTATAGAGAGCTTTTTGTGGGTCTGTTTCTTCATAATTGCCTTCAGCTAAAATAATCTTTCTGGCAAAGGGGCGGGTTTTCAAGCAGTATATTCTGCTATTTTATAGATTTCATTATAAAGTTACCCAACTTTATAATGACCCATATGTTTTAACATGGAAATCTGAGGTAAGGCATTGTTGATAAAGTGTTAGGGATGTTATTCACATAAGGCTTTCTTATTTAAAAAATCATAGTAGTGAAAAACATTAAAGTAGACCGGCTGGCGTGGCTCGGTGGTTGAGCATTGATCCATGAAGTCATGGTTCGATTCCTGGTCAGGGCACATGCCTGGTGTAAGGGCTCGATCCTGTGAGGTGTGCAGGAAGCAGCTGATCAGTGATTCTCTCTCATAATTGATGTCTCTATTTCTCTCTCCCTCTCTGAAATCAATAAAAAATACATATTTTTAAAATTTTACAAAAACATTAAAGTAGAAATCTGGCTGGGTAACATCATGTTGGTGCTATATACCTATTAAAACGACAGACAAGGTGTCACCTTCTTTTATGCAGAGTACATACTATAATTTTATGTTGAAAAAGATGAAAACACCCTGTGAATGCACACAAAACAATTTAATGAAATGAACATTAATGAAAAATCAGAGCTCATTTTCAGTTTGTATAAAGTGTTCATTTGTGTTGTTTTTGGTGTGTTTTTTTCTTTAGAGTTGCTCAAATTCATAAAAATAGAAGAAAGTTCCTGTTTTGAAAACAGTGCTAATACCAATTCTTTCTGAGCCAGGTCTTTAATAAACAATGTCATTTCATCAATTTCCTGTGGATTAATCCTTTTAACCTTTAGAAGTCACTGAACCAAAAAATTGTTCCCGTTTTCCACATATCTCAAGGGGTAGAGCCTCCAAACCACCAGGAGGAGAAGGAAGTGAAAAGGGGTTAAATACTGGGGCCAGCCTACCCTGGCCAGCTGAGCGGTCTGGCTTCACAGTCAACATGAAGGCTCTCCTGACTCTGGGGCTTCTCCTCCTCTCTGTGGCCGTCCAGGCCAAGGTCTATGAGAGGTGTGAGCTGGCCAGAACCTTGAAAAGTCTTGGAATGGATGGCTACAGAGGAGTGAGCCTGGCAAACTGTAAGTTAACTCTCCATTCTTCCAAATAGCCAGCCAGGTGTGCAATAGATACTAATGGAGGATGAATAATGAGAAGGGGGCTTTGCGTGAATGGGCTCCTTTAAAAAAGTTAGTTGAGGATTTGTATACTTAAAATGGTTTTAAATATATATCAACTTGTTCCTTTAGAACCAGAAATGCCAGATGAAGAGATGAGAGCATGGAGTGCAAAATTCTGCACCATTCTAAATAAACTGCCACCTACTGTACTCTTTGAGTGCTACCAAGCCCGCCACTTGCCTCAGACTCAGGGGACATGCAGGCTGACTATACATGTGCGCACCTGAGCAATCTCTGCCAGGTGTTTGACTCCAGCTATTTCCCATGTGGAACTTGGGCTCTGTGAGCCTAGAATAATGCAGCATTTTTCTCCTTCTTAATGCCCCTGCATGACATGAAGCAAAGTTTTGTTTATTTAATTATGTTGAAATCTCAATACAGGGTTAAGTAGGAACCTATTTCCCCTCAATCACTGTTTATGTCAGGATCCCTGAAATGCAGCATGAAATGCCATTTCATTATCCTTGCTTGCTCTAGTTGATTAACTGTTTTCATTTTTTTCTATGCAAACCAAGATGTACCTGTATAAAAGTTACTTTGTATTTTAGCCCCTTTTTGTCAATGATATCACTGTATGTTTAGGTTGAATTCAAACACTTCCTCTTAATAACTATTTTTGAATGCATGAGTGAATAGTTTGATGGATATATGGATGGACTATGAAACAGTCTTTACTGTCCTATATCTTTATACTTATAAAGTAAGTCATTAATAAAATAAAATTAGCTATATAGAACTGATTATATTATAGTATGCAGTATAAGTCATATGGTGTTGCTATTTATTACTAAAAGCATGTTTTTTTCAGGGATGTGTTTGGCCAAATGGGAAAGTGATTACAACACACGAGCTACAAACTACAATCCTGGAAGCAAAAGCACTGATTATGGGATATTTCAGATCAATAGCCGCTACTGGTGTAATGATGGCAAAACTCCAAGATCAGTTGACGCCTGTGGTATATCCTGCAGCGGTAAGAGAAAGTAGCATTTAAGTGATGGCACATGACCCATCTGGCTATGTTTACAAGAATAGAGATTCAATACAAATGAAAAGGTTTTCAAAAATTCAACAGGGACCTAGAAAAACTCCATCTCACCCTGGCTGGGTGGCTCAGGTGGTTGGAGCATCATCCCATACAACAAAATGTTTCAGGTTCGAGTCCTTGACAGGGCACATACCTAGGTTGTGGGGTCAGTCCCTAGTTGTGGTGTATATGAGAGGCAACCAATTAATGTTTCTCTCTTTCTCTCTCCTTTCTCTAAAATTAATAAAAAACAAAACAAAACAAAACAAAACAAAAAAAACAAAAAAAACCACCCCACATATCCTCAAGTGAGGATTAAAAAAAAAAGAGGTTGCCCTGACTGGTTTGGCTCAGTGAATAGAGCGTCAGCTTTCGGATTGAAAGGTCTCAGGTTCGATTCCAGTCAAGGGCATATGCCTTGGTTGTGGGCACATCCCCAGTAGAGGGTGTGCAGGAGGCAGTTGATCCAAGTTTCTCTCTCATCCATGTTTCTCTCTAACCCTCTCTTTTCCTCTTTGTAAAAAATCAATAAATATATATATATATTTTTTAAAGAGGTGACTCTGACTTTAAAAAAAATAAAATCATAAAAATGAAAATATTGGAGAAGTATTATAAAATTGATATCGTTAAATTTCTAAATGTTAAAATTCTAATAGAAAATATTATTCTTAGAATATTCTTTTGTATCCAGTTAATTTATTTTAAAATTATTTTGTATTATATAATAATCTGTAGTCAATGAATAAAAATTCTTACTATCAAGAGATTTATGACTAGTAATACCTTTTGGTATATATTATTCTAGATAGAATATATATCAATCATATATGTGAATATAAAGCTATGTAATGTACAAATATACCTACACACAAACATGTACATAATGTGTGGTGTTTTTTATGGTTATTTTTCATTATTATACTGACTTTGGAGAGAAGGGAGAGGAAGAAACATCAATGTGAGAAACATGAATTGGCTGCCTCTTGCAGTCTCCCTACTGGGGATTAAGCCCACAATATGGGCATGTATCCTGACCAGGAATCCAACCATGATCTCCTGGTTCATGGGTTGATGCTCAACCACTGAGCCACACCGGCCAGGCACATGTGTTTTAACAAAAATGAAATTTTACTATTATACTGCTTTACAATCTGTTCTTTATCACATAAAATTATTTATATATTAACAAATACCAGCCTTTATTATTTTAGCTTAAGAGAATAAAATGGGTAAACCTAAACTTAAAATGAAATGTCTGTGAAAGTTGTCTTCATTCCTCACCACCTGTTTTTCAGTTTTGCTTCAAGATGACATCACTCAAGCTGTAACCTGTGCAAAGAGGGTTGTCAGGGATCCACAAGGCATCAGAGCATGGTATGTGTAAGCATTAAAGGGGAGAGCTTTTTTGCCCTGTGTTAGGAGAGAGGTGAGAGAAGATTTTCAAGGCCGCTACTGAGAACTGAAAGTTTCAGCTTTAGACATATGCTAAACAAAGTATCTCTTAGAAGCAATCTATTTCAAGGGATTCAGAATATTTTTCTCTTACTCCTCCATTAATTTGGGGGATTTATAGAATTTTTAAGATTCTCTACACTCTACCAGTTCCTTGTGCTGTTTTGAAATGTTTGGAATGAGGTAAATGTAGAATGCACTTTTCAGTGGCTGTTAGGAAATGCACGTGACTCTCGTGGTCAGCATACTATGCTGTAGCCAAGTCTTTGGGGAGAAGTGAAGTATTTCTGTACATATGTCCATTTAATAAGTAGAAATACCTGGATCTATCAATAGCCTGTATTTCATATAGTGTTAAAATAGTTTGTCCTCACAAAGGATTTGATGTACGTCTATCACAATGAAGATGTACTTTAACCTTATCGCCATTTTTTTTTTTACACCTTTCCCTACAGGGTGGCCTGGAAAACTCACTGTCAAAACAAAGATCTCACTCAGTATGTCCAGGGTTGTGGAGTGTAACTGGACAGCTTTCCTTCTTTAGCTCCTCTTGTCTCCTTTTCATATCAAGGGAGTAGTAGTTGAGTAAAAGTTCACACTTCTTTCAAATAAACAATGATTTTGCAGAAGCAGGAGCAAAATATGGTCTTTCTTCTAAGAGGCTAATGTTGTCTAACGTGTGAATTATTGGGTAGTAAGTCTACAACATGTTTCAGTGTGCTGATGGAGCTAAGGCTGGTGAAAATTTACCTAAAATCTTATTACCAAATACGTCTCCAGTACATTCAGTTCTTAATCAATGACTTCATCTTGAATGACACCAGTATTCCTCAATATTTGATAAATATGTAACAATAGACTATCTTAAAACACATTGACCTTGGACAAAATCTTAGCTAAGTAGGCATGTGATGTGTTCATTTGTTCATTCGTCTCCCAAACAGTAAAAGATAACCATTCTTTGTTGGGCAATATCAAATTGACAAAGGAACAGAATGCCAAATAGCTGAAAATGGACACAGCCTGCATTAAGGATATTGTTTTTATTAAGTGTGATTTTTGGTTTAAATGCTTTTTTAGAAATGTTACAACTTTAAAATGAACTCACAATTTATATATCAATCTACTTTAGCCCTTTAAAAAACTTTTTTATGTATCTTGCTAATCATGAAGGTATATATTAAGAAGGGTTAGATTAGCTGTTGCTGTTTCTTAATTTTATAAGCTTAGATTCATGCATAATGACTAAAGCTGGAGGCAGATGACCTTGAAAGTATTGAAATAATTGCTAATTAACCACCAGTGTGAACTTATCATGTTACAAAAAAATATAAACATTTTTCACTAAAGCACTCATACCTTGTCTTTCTCAGTGTGAAAAAATATGACTTAGCTCTCTTAATATATCTCACCTGTACCCAAACAGGTTATATTGCTGGGGGGAAAAAGCAACAACCCTCAGGCATGCTGACAAATCTAACTTTAAATTCATAACCACACCTGCCAGTGTTTCTCAATGATTGAGTGTCTACCCATGAACCAGGAGGTCAGGGTTCAATTCCCAGTCGGGGCTCAGGCTTGGGTTTTGAGCTTTATCCAAAGTAGTGGGCATGCAGAAGGCAACCAATCAGTGATTCTATCTCGTCATTGATGTTTCTCTCCCTCTCCTGTCTGAAATGAATCAAAATACATTTAAATTCATAACAACAAATCTCAGATGGCCCTCAAGTCTGCCAGGCCATTTTAGTCACCAGTCTGCAATCTTTCTGGATTGGTATCCCCATCCTCCAAAATGACTATTACTATTTTACTTCCCTTCCTCTCTCTTCAAAGCCGTAGCACAGGTGCCTGACCACTCACCTTCTGCCCATCTCTGCTCTCAGTATTGGCCGCAGAGAACAATGAAAGAGGAAACTATCTCATACAAAATTCTCCCCTAGGAAAGTGCCTAGGTCCGTGGTCGGCAAATGCGGCTCTTGAGCCACATGTAGCTCTTTGGCCCCTTGGGTGTGGCTCTTCCACAAAATACCAAGGCCTGGGCACTTTTGAAGAAGTGGCGTTAGAAGAAGTTTAAGTTTAAAAAATGTGGCTCTCAAAAGAAATTTCAGTCGCTGTACTGTTGATATTTGGCTCTGTTGACTAATGAGCCGACCACTGGTCTAGATACATTCTTCCTTCCTGCCCTGCTATCACCGGGAGGAAGGGCCTCTGCTCCTGCCAATGGCAGTGTCTCCACATGCAGTCTCCATCTCATCCCTCTCACTGCTCCAAGGTAGGCTGTTTCCTGCATCCTGGTCTCTCCCTCTTTGCAATTGCCCCACCATTGTGCAAACTGCCCTGATAACGTCCATTACAAATAACTCTCTATTGAGCCTACATAGCCCTCTAACTCTGCTCCCTTTTGCAGCAACACTTCTGAGGTTAGATATCTATACTCACCAGTCCCACTCCTCACCTCCCATTTCGCTGTTTTTATCCGATGGTTTTTGAAAAGGCAAAAAAGGAATGAGTTAAAGAACACAGACTGAAGGATTGATTTTAAACTGGAAAAAGATTCCCTCTGACTGAGTAGTACATCCCTATCCGGTTTGGCTCACTGGATAGGAGGTCAGCCTGCGCATCCAAGGGTCCTGAGTTCGATTCTGGTTCCAGTCAAGGGCATGTAGCTTGGTTGCAAGTTCCTTCCTTCCCAGGGGCAACCAATTGACGTGTTTCACTCACATGGACATTTCTCTGTCTTCCCCTCTCTTTTTCACGCTCCCTAAACATCAGTGGATCCTCGGGTGAGGATTACCACAACCAAAAAAGAAGGACAGATGGCCTTGGCCGGTGTGCTGGGTTAGCGTGTCAGCCTGAGCACAAGAGGATCGCAGGTTCGAGGGCCCTGGGGTCAAGGGCACTGCACTCATCTGCACGGTACTTAGTACCACAGAGGCAATGGGGTGGACATCCAGTTATGCACCTTGGGTTGCAAACTGAGTAGAAAAGGAAGAAGGAGATACATGAGAAATAAGCGGTTCAAGCACTGAGATCTGAATGCAAAGAAAAGCTGTGCGTGGGCGAGATTTCATGACCTTGATTTCAGAATTAGAATGCTTTAGCGGTGTGACAAAGGACTGCCCCCAAAAAGTTTTTGGAAAAAAAATCGGGACTTTTTTAAAACGCCGCGGGACGCGGGACAAATTGTTAGCAATCGGGACTGTCCCGCCAAAAGCGGGACGTCTGGTCACCTTACCCAAAAGCCATTTCAGAGCCACCTGGAAGCCAAGGTGTCGGGGCGGCAGACAGGCAAACGGGAGACTCCCGCGCCCCCGAGGCCCCTGGAGCTAGAAGGCCCCGCCCATCGCGCGGCCACGGCGGCCCGCGCGTGCGCAGTGCGCCTGTGCCGGTCGCGCCTGCGCACGGCGCCCCCGCGCCCCTCCGGTTCCGCCGTGCGCCCGCGGGCTGAATGGGCTTCGGGTTCCGCGCCGCCGGCGAGTGGCGGGCGGCCGCTCCTACGTCTCCGCGAGCGCCGGCGACTCGCCCCGCCTCGGCCAGAAACCGTCCGTCCGGGCCCGCGCCGGAGGAGCGGCGTCTCTGAGGGCTGCGGCGACCCCGCCGGCCTCGGTCTCTTTCCTGGCGGCGGCGGCTTCTTCCGTGGGACAATATGTTCAAGAGAATGGCCGAATTTGGGCCTGACTCTGGCGGCAGAGTGAAGGTGAGTGCCCGCCCGCCCGCGCCCGCCTGTCCCCCTGCGCGGCGAGGGGCGGGCCGCGGGCTCCCCCCGAGGTGTCAGGGCGAGGAGCGAGTCAGTCCCTGAGGGGGCGTCTGTGTTTGCCGGCGCCCCACCTTCACGGCGCCCCCCCTCTTCCCGTCCCCCCAGAAAAACAAACAAACTTGATGCTGGCCGGGGCGAGAACGCCGGACACTTGTTTCCCGGGAAACCAGCCTCTCCGAGGGCTGGGGCGCCCTGCTGGCTGTGGTCAGCGGTCACCGGTCGGGAGGACGGTGACAGCAGCAGGTGTCTGTCTGGGAGCGCCTCCGCCTGCCCAGCACCGCGGCGACAGCTTCACCTTCTCCGCCCGGCCCTGCAGCACCTTCCACAGGCGGATCGCCCAGCGCATGTGCCACGACTGGGAACTGACCACCTGCCCAGGTTCATGGTGTTACCGAAGCTCCGGCCGAGATATTAACCAGGGCCTGCAGGGCACGTTGCCTGGCACATTAGGGACATGGACATTGGCTGTTTCTGTCTTTAATCCAAGTTATCAGAGAGCCTATCGGAATGTTTGACGAAGGGATACGTTTCCCTCCCACCTTCTCACATTCCCCTCAGCACGTTAATTTTTAAGGCAGGACCAACTGGTTCCCAATACAACACCTGTTTCTACCCCTTACGATTTTTATTTATTCCAGAAAGGAATTTTTTTTTCTTTAAAAAGGCATAACCCACTTTTGCAGCAACCTAGTCAGTATAGGTTTTTAAAGAGTTTTTATCTGTCATATTGTTTTTACATAACTTTAACTCTATACTGTGTTTACAACTATCATACATGGTGCTTTAATGTCATGTAAAGCAGGAGTCCTTCGAAAATGTCAAAAGCTTTTGAACTTTCATATAAGGAGAAAGATGCTAGGTAAATTGATAAATATACACATTTTGCCCAGACTTTTTGGGCAAGGTTTTGAACTGATAGGAAAGTACTAGCAAACAAAAGGTTAAAATAGATTTTGGAGAAGAACGCACAGAACTTTTAATACTTGTAATCATGTTAGTTTCTGAAAGTTTGTAAGTTTAAGTCCCAAGTGACTTGCGATTAGGCTTATAGCCTTCAAATGCTTTTCTACAAACACTGGCGTGATTTAGTCATGTGAAGCTTAAAACCAGTGATTTGCAACCTTTTTCGGCTCATAGCACACATAAACTAATTACTAAAATTCTGTGGCCCACCAAAACTGGATATTTTGCTGATCTGACCAAAAAAAAGGGGAGTGGGTATGATTTTGATTCATTCACACTGGGTGGCTTTTGTTGTATTGGGTGTTGTCATATTTTTTATTTGATAATCAAGAGAAAAGAGCTCAGTGCCCCTGGCTAAATAGTCAGGTATCGCAGGTTTTTTAATTTTTTGCAGCATGCCAGTCAAAAATTTCTGCTTTAAACTTAGGGACTTACTTCTCATCACTCACTGAGATGTGGTTTTGTAGGCATCTTTTTCCAATTTAGGTAAATTTTATCCAGGTAGGAAGTCTGTTGACAGATGAGCCCCATTTTTATCATTGAGGAACTCTGCAAGTTCCTGCCAACACCACAGCAGCCATGGGATCTCTTAGCCACTCACCAAGTCAGCACTCCTTATACTCACTCATTCAGGCCTTGAACCTGAGGTCCAGTCTGTGGTTGCCACAAAAGTGTCAGTAGCACTTACTGTGATTATTTTCGTTCTTATACAAACAGCTTGCCTTCTTCTGGACGTTAGGCTGATAGGTATTGAATTTATTTGTTACTTATTCAGCCACAATTAATAGTTTTCCATTTGTTCACTGCCTTCCTTCGTTTCTTTTTAGTTACATTGGCACAGCATTATCACATGTGTATATCTTGCTCTTTGACCTTCAGATACATTCTTACTGTTGAACAATTGATCTGAAATTCATTCAGCATTTTGTCTCCACTTGAAATTTTTTCTCTCCTTCATCATAATCTGTCAACATTCACTGCCTTTACACTCACCAGATGTGAGGAGAAACATGTATGTACATCTCAGAAATGAGCCCAAATGTAGGAAGCATGGCCATTGGCCAATAAACTAGCATCAGTCATCCAAGTGACATTTTATCAGTATCCAAATCCAGCTGTAATATTGAACATTTTTATTTAGATTACTTTTTAAAAGCCCGTTCCTAAGCATTAATATCTTTGAAATTATGGGTTTGAATTACTAGTTATAGTTATGATTTTTCTAATAGTGATTAAAGTAAACCCATAAATAATAAAATGGTTTTATGTTTGCTCTTATTCTACCTAAAATCTTTTTCCAAGCTGCCTTTAATACTTGTACCATGCTTTGGAAAACACTGCCATAAGCTGATAAATAGGACATTGTCATCAGACTAGAGGCCCATTGCACAAAAATCGTGCATGGGGGTAGAGTCGGGGGTAGGTGGTTTCCCCTCAGCCGGGCTTTCACCCTCTCTAATCTGGGATCCCTCTCGCAATCCCGATCCACTGGCTCCCAACCACTCACCTGCCTGCCTATCTGCCTGATGCCCCTAACTGCTCTTCTCTCCTGGCCTGATCCCCCTAACTGCTCCCTACTGCCAGCCTGATCCCCCTAACTGCCTTTCTGCACTCCCCTCCTGGCCTGATCCACCTAACTGCCTGTCTGTGCTCCCCTAACTGCCTGTCTGCTCTCAAATAGAAAGCAACCTGTTGGGACTCACAGATTGAGAACCGCTAGCAGGGTTGCCTAAGACCATCAGAAAACACAGATATTTACATTACAGTTCATAACAGTAGCAAGATTACAGTTATAAAGTAGCAGTGAAAATAACTTTATGGTTGGGGGGGTTCATAACATGAGGAATGGTATTAAAGGGTTGCAGCATTAGACAGGTTGAGAACCCCTGGTATAGATGATTGCAGTTGGAGTTGGTGATCTTTACTGCAGAGCCTCACTTTAAAGTTTGTGAATAAAGAGCCTTTTGTATTTCAGAAAAACTTTCAAAGTACTTAACAGGTTTTAAACATTTTTATTGATTTCAGAGAGAAGGGAGAGGGGCGAGGTAGACACATCAATGATGGGAGAATGATTAATTGGCTGCCTTCTGCACTCCCCACACTGGGGATTGAGCATGTGCCCTGACCTAGGCATGTGCCCTGACCAGGAATCGAACCCTGATCTTCTGCTCTGTAGGTCGATGCTCAACCACTGAGCCACATGGGCAAGGCTAAAATAGACATTTTCAATGTAGGGACATTGTAATTAATCTGGTGTTTAGTTGTATTAATATGAAATGAGGATAATTGTCTAAAATTGATTTATTGAGAGAGATGATGTTATAAGCAAATTCTAGTTTTTTTAATTTTTCAATTACAGGTGACACACAATATTATATTAGTTTCATGTGTACAACAAAGTGATTAGACATTCATATAACTTAGGAAGTCATCATCCTTATATATCTAAATAACCATCTGACACTATACATAGTACAGTACTATTGACTATATTCCCTATGCAGTACTTTACATCCCTATGATTATTTCGTTACTGCCAATTTGTACTTAATTCCTTCACCGTTTTCACACTCCCGTCATTCCCTTCCAATCTGGCAACCATCAAAGTATTCTCTGTATGAGTTTGTTTCTGTTTTGTTTGTTCCTTTATTGCACACATAGGTGAAATTATATGGTATTTGTCTGTCTCTATCTGACGGATTTCACTTAGCATAATACCCTCTAGGGTCCATCCATGTTGTTGCAAATGGTAAGTTTTTATTATTTTTTATGGCTGAGTAATGGTCCATTGTATATATGTACCACTTCTTTATCCATTCATCTATTGATGGACACTTAGGTTGCTTTCATATGATGGCTATTTTAAATAGTGCTGCAATGAACATATGTCTTTTTGAATTAGTGTTTTGGATTTTTTCAAACAAATACCCAAAATGGAATTGCTGAGTCCTCCTTTGTCTCTTGTTATAACCTTTGTTTTAAAGGTGGGAGGAGATCGACCAAAGCACTTGTATGCATATATGCATAACCCATGGACACAGAAAATAAGGTGGTGAAGGACTGAGGCAGGTGGTGAGGTGGGCTAGAAGGGGACAGACAGTAGAGGAAAAAAGGGGATATATGTAATACTTTTAATAGTAAAGATATAATTAAAATAAAAGAAAGTTAATTTTGTTAGGTATAAGTATTGCAACCCCAGCTTTTTTTGTTTCCATTTTCTTGAAATGTCTTTTTTCATCCCTTTGCTTTCAGTCTGTATCTTTCCATCTGAAGTGAGTCTCTTATATGCCTGCCATTTCTTAAAACAAACTTTCAGAACTCTTCTGTTTATTTGGATAATCATACAATATTAATTAGTGTTTAAAACTTTTCTTTCAGGGGGTTACAATCGTTAAACCAATAGTTTATGGCAATGTTGCTCGATATTTTGGAAAGAAAAGAGAAGAGGATGGGCATACCCATCAATGGACAGTATATGTAAAACCATATAGAAATGAGGTGAGTACTGTTCTTTCCTATAACTTCTTTGTTTTTTTGTTTGTTTGTTTTTAATATATTTTATTGGTTTTTTACAGAGAGGAAGAGAGAGGGACAGAGATTTAGAAACATCGATGAGAGAGAATCATAGATCAGCTGCCTCTTGCACACCCCTTACTGGGGATGTGCCCGCAACCAATGTACAAGCCCTTGACCAGAATCGAACCCGGGACCTTTCAGTCCGCAGACCGATGCTCTATCCACTGAGCCAAACCTGTTTCGGCCCTATAACTTCTTTGAATCTACAGTTTGTTTTGCTTGAAAATAAATTGTAATATTATAGGGACTCTCTGTTTTATAAAGTTGTCCTTTTTAGAAAAGTTACCCACCCCAAAAGTTGAAAGAATAAAGTGAGAGTTGTCATTTTCATGTAACTGTTCAGTAGAAAAAAAAATTTTTTAAGTATATATTTTTATTGATTTCAGAGAGAAAGGGAGAGGGAGAAAGATAGAAACATCCATGATAAGACAGAACCATGGGTCCACTGCCTCCTGCACAACCCCCACTGGGGATCGAGCCCACAACCCAGACATGTGCCCTGACCGGGAATCAAACTTGTGACCCCCTGGTTCATAGGTCTATGCTCAACCACTGAGCCATGCCGAAATTTTCAAAAAATGTTTCCTAATTAAAATTAAATTACACTAACAAGAAATGTGCTATAAACACAGCACATCTTCCAATCACCATGTCTTAAGTTAGCCTAGTATTTAATCAGATGTTTCAAGAATAGTAGTTAATTTTTAAGTGATAATTTAGTTGGTAATAAGACCATCAGAGGAGATAAAAGACATAACTATATAATCTGGCTGCTGGTCATTTTGTTTTATTGCTGAATCTCTAATGCCTGGAATGAAGCCAGTCCATATTAGGTATTCAACAGATATTTATTAAGTGTATAAACTGTTCTTCTATTTAAATCCTTCAAAGTCCATACAAAAGAATGGGAACAACTCAGATGTCTTGAATAAATAAAATATGGCATATCTATGCAATGGAATGTCATTAGGCAGAAAGAAAGAAAAAATATTGGTACATGCTGCCACCACATGGAGAAATTGAGAAACATTACGGTAAGAGAAAGAGGCCAGACACAAAGGCCACATATTCTATAATATCATTAAAAATATATATATATTTTATTGATTTTTTTTTACAGAGAGGTAAGGAGAAGGATAGATTTTAGAAACATCGATGAGAGAGAAACATCCATCAGCTTTCTCTTGCACACCCCTTACTGGGGATGTGCCTATAATCAAGGTACATGCCCTTGACTGGAATCAACCTGGGACCCTTCAGTCTGCAGGCTGATGCTCTATCCACTGAACCAAACCAGTTAGGGCCCTATGATACCATTTTTATAAAATGTCCAGAATAGGCAAATTTAGACACAGAAAATAGATTAGTGGGTGGGAGGAAAATGGACTTAGGAATGAGTGTTAATGGTGTGGGGTTTCTTTTTATGTGATAAAAATATTCTAAAATTGAATATAGTGATGGTTATACAACTCTGTTAATATGCTAAACACTGAATGTTACATTTTAAGTGGGGGAATTATGTGGTGTGTGAATATGTCAATAAAGCTATTATTTTTTTAAAACAGCTTCATCCTAACTGGTTTGGCTCAGTGGATAGAGCGTCAGCCTGCAGACTCAAGGGTCCTAGGTTCGATTCCAGTCAAGGGCATGTACCTTGGTTACAGGCACATACCCAGTAGGGAGTGTGCAGGAGGCAGCTGATCGATATTTCTCTCTCATCGATGTTTCTAACTCTCTATCCCTCTCCCTTTCTCTCTGTTGAAAAAATCAATAAAATGTATTTTTTAAAAATAGAACAAAAAACACTTTAAATGACTATTAATTACCCTCATAAAGTTAAAACTTCTTATTTTAGAAGGCATGCTGTGGTCTTTTCTTATCCTATTTCAGCAGTATTATACCTTGTCTGTATTTGCTTCTTTATTTCCCTATGCCCTACATTCTAATACTAAATTACTTTCAGTTTCTCAAAGGAGGACTCTTAAACCCCTTACTTCCTTCTTTCCCTCCATTCCTCCCTCCCTATTTTTTTATTTCCTTAGTCTTAGTTCAAGTGTATTTTCTTTAGAACTACTTTCTTGAACTCCAAAAACTGTTGCGTTAGATGCCTCTCCTGTGGTGTTATACCTCATGCCCTCAGGAACACAGATTACACTGAAATGCTGATTTCCTTTTCTGGCGCCTACTCCATAGACAGATCCTGAGGACAAGACCCTATTACCATTTTATCTGGTACACAATGTTAGTAGTCACTCAGACTTGTAGAATAAAAATGAATGAAACTATTTCCAAAACAGTCTTCAAAGATACTTAGGAAAATCTGCCTCAGAAAAAAATGTTCATACAGATGATGTGTTGAAGAATTGTGCACCTAAAAGCTGTATAATTTTGTTAGCTAGTGTCACTCCAATAAATTCAATAAAAAGGGGGGAATGTTCATAATATTAAGTAATGAAAGCAGATATTAATATATTATTATAGAATGATTCCAATTTAAAAATATTGGATGCAAGCTGAATCTGGTTTGGCTCAGTGGATAAAGCTTCGGTCTGTGGACTGGAAGGTCTCAGGTTCGATTCTGGTCAAGGGCATGTACATTGGTTGCAGGCACATCCCCAGTAGGGTGTGTGCAGGAGGCAGCTGATGGATGTTTCTCTCTCATCAAATGTTTCTGGCTCTCTATCCCTCTCCTTTCCTCTCTGTAAAAAAATCAATAAAAAATATTTTAAAAAATAAATAAATAAAAATATTGGATGCAAGGTAATAAGCACAAAAAAATTCCTGAAAGAAAAAATATAAACATTTCTATTGTTTGGCTTATTCTCTTTTGCATTTTTCTATAATAAGGTATGTTTGAAAAAGACACGTTAACTAAAAGAAACCCTTTTATGTGTAAGAACTAAGGAACATGCTCTTGTGCTTCAAAATGAAATTCAGAAAAGGAGGAGTTTTATATCCAACAGTTTTAGCTGCTTAGTTGAGATGACCTTAGTTTTATATGATATAATTTTGTTCTTTGAAGTTGCTTAGTTTTTAAATTTGCTTTGGATAATATAGTTATTATAGAAGTATTGGAAGTGTACTATTGTTTTTATGGAAATATTTTGATTTAGAGAATTGTCTATAGATAAATATAAAAAAATATTTGCAAAATAAGAGAATTGATATGTATATTTCTATCTTCTTCTATACTGATAAAAGGGTAATATGCTAATTAGACCCGGAGACCTTTCAGACATCCTTCTGGACAAAGCCATGGTGGCGGGACTGAGGCAGAGGCAGTTAGGGGCGATCAGGCCAGGAGGGGAGTGCAGTTGGGGGTGATCAGGCCAGCGGGGAGGGAGGTGGAGTTGGGGGCAAGCAAGCCGGCAGTGAGGGAGCAGTTGGAGTTAATCAGGCCTGCAGGGGGGAGGCAGTTGGGGGCGAGCACCCTGGCAGGATGGGACAATTGGGAGACAAAGGCCGGCGGGAATGGAGGGGCAATTGGGGGTGAGCAGGCAGGCAGGCAGAGTGGTTAGGGACAATCAGGCAGGCAGGCAAGTGAGCAGTTAGGAGCCAGCAGTCCCAGATTGCGAGAGGGATGTGTGACTGTGGTTTAGGCCTGATCCTAAACCAGCAGTCGGACATCCCCTGAGGAGTCCCAGATTGGAGAGGGGTGCAGGCCAGGCTGAGGGACACCTTCCCCTCCCTCCCTCCCCCACCCCCAAATTTCATGCACCAGGCCACTAGTGTATTATGAATTATGAGAGAATTCACTGACTTGTTTAAAATAAAAAACCAAATCTCCTAGGTATAATTCATGGTTTTTGTGGGGCTTTAAAAGAAAATTAGATTCTATAATATTTGAGGGGAAATATATTTTATATAATTAGGTACATATGCTTAGTTTATTTCCCTCCTAGTTTTTATGTGTAGATGGTAAAACTAATTAATTCCTCTGTATTTTAGGATATGTCAGCATATGTGAAGAAAATTCAATTTAAGTTACATGAAAGCTATGGCAATCCTTTAAGAGGTAGAGTATAGTTTTTTCATTTATAACATACAAATTTAAAAAGAGTAAGGAAACTACATCATAATTTACAATTATAATTGTTGTATTTTTTCTCTTCTTCAGTTGTTACTAAGCCTCCATATGAAATTACTGAAACAGGATGGGGTGAATTCGAAATAATCATCAAAATATTTTTTATTGATCCTAATGAAAGACCTGTGAGTAGTGGTAATCTTTGTAAATTAAAAACAGATTTTTTTTTTTTAGTAATTGTGAAATGTTAACAATACTTAATGAAGAACATATTATGTGTTGACATTTTTATTCAGACTCACTTTATGTATGCTTATCATCATATGCTGTATTTTTTTAAAATATGTTTTTATTGTTTTTAGAAAGAGAGGAAGGGAGAGGGAGAGAAAGAGAAATATTGATCGACTGTCTCCTGTCTACTGGGGATAAAGCCAGAAACCTGGGCATGTGCTACAACAGGGAATCAAACAAGCAACCATTTGGTGCATCAGACAACACTCAATCAGGGCTGGCATGGTGTATCTTGCATGAGTTAAGATTTTTCATTTTTAAGTGATGTGCCTTCCAAGGCTTTTATTTTTCAATATAGAAAGAAGGAATAAAATGTGAACATTTATTGGAAAGAAACCATATGATTACTATAGAAAAAATTTTTATATTACTATAGAAAATCATATGATTACTATAGAAAACTTTTTTTTAATTTACAGATTTAGAGAGAAATGGGGAGAGAGAAAAAGAAGAAAACAAACATCAATTTGTTATTTCACTTATGCATTCATTGGTTACTTCTTGTATATGCGCTGACCAGGAATCAAACCTGCCACTTTGGTGTATTGGGACAATGCTCCAACCAACTGAGCTACTCGTCCAGGGCTACCACAGCAAAAATTTTAAATTCGTTAATAGTATTTGGTTATTAGTAATAAACAAATTAAGTTCATATGCTATGAAATGAGAGTATTCAGTTTTTTTATAATTAAAAGCCTTAGAAATAGTCTTGTTGCTTTTTCAAAGCAAAAAGTACTAGCAGCTTTACTTGTGAATTGTTATTGATAACCAACTTTTTCATTTTATGGTCTCTTATAAGATTTGTTGCTTGATACTGCAAAAAGTCCCTTAAATCTTTCACTTTGATCCCTCAGCGACTTTGTGAAATTGGTGATATCTTCATTTTAGATATGAGAATATTAAGGCTCAGAGAACAAGTCACAGACTCAAAAATACAGTTAGTTGTGGCAAAGCTAGTTTTGAACCCAAGTGTTGGATTTGCACCTTATACTCTTCCTGTTACTCTTTCTTTTGACAAACCACTAAGCCTTCTTTTATTGATTGATTGATTGCTTTTTTGGAGAGAGAGGGAGGGAGAGAGAAAAACAGAAACATCGATTCCTTGTTCCATTTACTTATGCATTCATTGGTTGATTCTTGTATGTATTTGACTGGGGATCGAATCCACAACCTTGGCGTAAACCTGTTTTATTTTTAAACCTAGAAGGCCACAACTCAGTTATGGCTCTCTCATTTCACATTTGTGTGGCTGGTGGTTAATTTGTTTCAGGGCTTTAACAGTTCTCACCATTGATTTTCATCTTGATAGATTTAAGCTCATTCCTTTGGCACCAAATCTTTAGACTTTCATTATCAGATTAAATTTTTAAAACTATATGTGGTTTTAAAGGAGTTGAGTATCACCTGGGCCAGGGCTCAGAGGATTGGTTCTTAACTGACTATATCAGAAGTACCTGAGGCATTTTTTAAATTTTCAAATTGGCCCAATCTCCTGGAAAGTCTGATTCAGTAGTTTGGAGAAGGGCCAGCACCCCAGGTGATTTTGATGCAAAGTAAGATTTAGAACCCATTGACAGAGGCCATACTCTTCCTAGATAGGAATTTCTTCATGATATCTCTGAAAGAAGAATCTCCTTTGGATTTGCTAACTTCAGTATGGAGAATATTGACTTCTGTCGTAAGTGAAATATTCTGTTCAGATTTGGCGTAGTTCTAGTTTTTTGGTTTTGCTTTTTGTTTTAAATATATTTTTATTGATTTCAGAGAGGAAGGAAGAGGGAGAGAGAGATAGAAACATCAGTGATGAGAGAGAATCATTCATTGGCTTCCTCCTGTACACCTCCACTGGGAATCGAGCCTGCAACCCAGGCATGTACCCTGACTGGGAATCGAACCGTGACCTCCTGGTTCGTAGGTCAAAGCTCAACCACTGAGACATGCTTGCTGGGCATGGTGTGGGGTGGTTCTAGTTTTAAGAAAGCTCTACTTTATTTTAAGCTTCCTTGAACTTTTTATTGATAACTATTCACACATTAGTTTTCTTTTTTTCCTGTATAAACATCTATGGCTCAAATATCTTGATACAAAGATGAAGCACTGCTTTTTGTCCTTAATCAAAATAGTTTCTTAAGTCCTGGCCAGTTTGATTCAGTGGGTAGAGTATTGGCCTGTGGACTGAAGGGTCCCGGGTTTGATTCCAGTCAAGAGCATGTATCTCAGTTGCAGGTTCAGTCCTTGGCCCTGGTTGGGGCACATGTGGGAGACAATCAACTTGTGTGTCTTTCTCACATTGATGTTTCTCTCTTTGTTTCTCCCTCTCCCTTCCACATTCTCTAAAAATCAATGGAAAAATATCCTCAGATGAGAATTCACAAATAAATAGTCTATTAAAGAGACTATAGCACAAAATTTAGCAAATATTGAGAGAGAGAAGAAGTCAGTAGTGTTACTAGAGCAGAAGCTCTTTTTAACTTTGTAAGGTTGCTTCTAATTCATTTTTATTTTGACAATATGTGGCCTTACCTCTCTCTTCATCTGTTGTCCCCTCCTATTCCATTAGGAAAATACATCTCTAAAAGAAATCTTTATATCATATAATTTTATTATGAGCTGGCTCTTCAAGTCCTCTCTTGGAAAAGTAAAGTAATATGTTCGTTTGCAGTTCTGCAGTGATTAATTTCTTAAATAGGTTTCCATACAGATCTACATAGGCCAGAATTTTAAAAATATATATTTTTTACTTTTTAAAGAGAGAGGAAGGGAGAAAAAGAGAAACATTGATTGGCTGCCTCCTGCTTGCCCCCTACTAGGTAGGGATGGAGCCCCAAACCTGGGCATGTGCCCTGACCAAGAATTAAACCAGCAACCTTTCAGTGCCCAACCAGCTGAACCACCCAGCCAGGGCTAGGCTTCAATTTTAGTCCCCAAAAACCATTGTAGTATTATTTTAGTTAGAATGAAACCATTATACTTTTTCAATAGTTGTTTTTACTGAAAATGTCATGTAAGGGTTTATTTAAAATATAGAAGACACTGGTAACTTGTGATTTACTTCTGTTATCCACTAGCCTATTATAGGACAAGCCATTGTTAAAGGAATGGTTGTTTCTAAAAGCAAATGCTAAAATTGTTGCCCTGGCTGGTGTGGCTCGGTGGTAGAACATAAGCCTATGCACCAAAGGGTCGAGGGGTCAATTCCTGGTCAAGGACATGTACCTGGGTTACAGGTTTGATCCGGACCCTGATTAGGGCAGGTGTAGGAAGCAACCAGTTGATGTGTCTCTTTCACATCAATGTTTTTCTCTCCCCTCTCCCCCCTTCCTTCCCTCCCTTCCTCGTCTTCCTCCCTCCCACCCTTCCACTCTCTCTGTCTAAAAACCAGTGGAGAAAATATCCTCGGGTGAGGATTAACAAAATAAAACAAAAGAAAGAGTAAAAGACATGTGTTTTATGTCTAGAAATAATCAGTAGCAAGTACAGGTGTTTCCATTGTTCTAAGGATCACCAAACACAGCTCAAAAAGTCTTTTGTATTAGTATCCTAGGGCTGCCATAACAAAGTACCACAAACTGAGTGGCTAAACAACAGAAATTTATTCTAACAGCTCTGGAAGCTAAAAATTCAAAGACCCTGCCTCTCTCCAGAAGTGGATCCTTTCTTGCCACTTCTAGTTTCTGGTAGCCTCGGGATCCTTAGCCTGTGGCAGCATAACTTCATCTCTGTCTTCGTTGTCACATGGCCTTTCTCTGTGTCTCTTCTTATGAGGACACAAGTCATATTGAATTTGGGCACACCCTAAAGAATTTTTCTTAATTTAATTTCATCTGCAAAAACCTTACTTCCAGGTAAGGTCACATTCACAGGGCTTAAGGACTTCATCATATCCTTTTAGGGGGGAAAAGTTCAACTCATAACATCTTTTCTTTTTTTTTTTTTTTTAATCTTTATTGTTCAGATTATTACAGTTATTTCTCTTTTTCCCCCGCCTTAGCTCCCCTCCACCTGGTTCCCACCCTGCCTTCCACTGTCCTCGTCCATAGGTGCATGATTTTTGTCCAGTCTCTTCCTGCACCCCCACACCCTTTTCCCCCTGAGAATTGTCATCCACTTCCTTTCTATGCCCCTGATTCTATTACTCTGATCATCAGATTTTATTTTAATTAAAAAAAAAAAAATATATATATATATATATATATATATATATATATATATATATATATATATATTATTGATTTTCTTTTTTATGGAGAGGAAAAGAGAGGGATAGAGTGTTAGAAACATCAATGAGAGAATCATCAATCAGCTGCCTCTTGCACACACCCCACCAGGGATGTGCCCGCAACCAAGATACAAGCCCTTGACCGGAATCAAACCTGGGACCTTTCAGTCTGTAGGCCAATGCTCTATCCACTGAGCCAAACCTGTTTTGGCCATCAGATTTTTTTATTCACTTAATTTTTAGATTGACTTGTTGATAGATATGAATTTGTTGTTCATAATTTTTATCTTTACCGTTTCTTCTTCTTCCTCTTAAAGAATACCTTTCAGCATTTCATATAATACTGGTTTGATGGTGATGAACTCTTTTAGCTTTTTCTTATCTATGAAGCTCTTTATCTGACCTTCAATTCTGAATGCTAGCTTTGCTGAGTAGAGTAATTTTGGTTGTAGATTCTTGCTATTCATCACTTTGAATACTTCTTGCCATTCCCCTTCTGGCCTGCATAGTTTCTGTTGAGAAATCAGCTGGCTGATTGTTATATGGGCACTCCTTTGTAGGTAACTACTTGCTGCTTTTATGTTTTTCTCTTGCTTTTATTTATTTTTTTTTTAATTTTTATTTTTTAAAATATATTTTATTGACTTTTTACAGAGAGCAAAGGAGAGGGATAGAGTTAGAAACATCGATGAGAGAGAAACATCGATCAGCTGCCTCCTGCACATTCCTACTGGGGATGTGCCCACAACCAAGGTACATGCCCTTGACCGGAATCGAACCTGGGACCTTTCAGTCTGCAGGCCGATGCTCTATCCACTGAGCCAAACCGGTTTTGGCTCTCTTGTTGCTTTTAATAGTCTCTCTTTGTCTTTTGCTCTTGGCATTTTAATTATGATGTAGCTTGGTGTGGTCCTCTTTGGATTCCTTTTGTTGTGGTTCTGTACTTGTGCTTCTTGTACTTGTAAGTCTAATTCTTTCACCAGGTGGGAGAAGTTTTCTGACATTATTTCTTCAAATAGGTTTTCTCCACCTGCCAACTTTCAGCTCTGAACCTCTCTGGGGCTCCTCTAGAAGTGCTGGCTCCCACCAGTGATACAGTTGTCTTCCTTACGTTTTCAGGTTGTGGATTTCCCTGTTGTGGAATATCCATCAATGTAGTCACATGCTCTTGTCTATTCTATAAAGTTGTCAAATTATCTGCTTGGAATATGGCTTGTGATTGATGCATGGTTACTTATAATGATTTTTGCTAAGTTTTGGAAAATTCTCAGAGGTCTCTGAATTGGTTTCTTCAACTTCAACATGAACTGATACTTTGCCAGCTGGGTTTTATTTTTCTAAAGTAATCACACATTGTTCTACAAAACTTCCCCTTTGATGTCTTACTACAACATTGTTGTTTTTTTAAACATGAAAACATGTTATGCCAAAGTGAATTACCGCTGACTTTGTTACTTATGTAATAATCTTATAGATGATCAAAGAAATAATCTTACCCTCACTAAGCATTTTAGTATGTCATTCCTTTTGAAAGTACCAAATCTTTTTTTCCAGAGCAAATTTGTAAACTTTAATCTTCATAGAACAACTGTCATAATCTAATTTCACTTGTGTTAGTAAAAGAATTTATGTGTTAATGATTTTTCCAGTTTAATTTCCAGAGCTATATCTTATACTATTTTTATATACAGTCACTCTCTAGAAATGCTTTGTAATAATCTTTACTTACCATCTTTGGAATGTTCATATTTAGATGTGGATGATAGTAATACCTAATAGGAAAATAAAAGTACAGAGAGTTTTGAATTACTTGCCACAGTAAGTTGAGACAAAATCCTGAAGTTGATATATTTACTAATTCAGTTATAGAAATGACAGTATTTCACAATGATGAAGGTAACCATTGCGCAGATGTGATGTCTGTTTTTATTTCACAGGTAACCCTGTATCATTTGTTAAAGCTGTTCCAATCAGATACCAATGCGATGCTGGGGAAAAAGACAGTGGTTTCAGAGTTTTATGATGAAATGGTAAGATTTTTATAACGAGAGTTTTAAAGGCATTTTAAATTGTAGAACTTTGAAGTTATTGGGCCTTTTCTCATCTTATCTCATTAGATATTTCAAGACCCAACAGCAATGATGCAACAATTATTAACAACATCTCGTCAGCTAACATTAGGAGCCTACAAGCATGAAACAGAATGTAAGTGCCATGAGTTTATAATTAATACTGAAAATAGTGTTATGTGATGGTGAAAGGATCGTATGATTAGTAACTTTCAAATTCTTTTATTAATGCTATATATAGATAAAATGTTCAGACATTAAAAATTAAGTATTACGCCAAAACCGGTTTGGCTCAGTGGATAGAACATCGGTCTGCGGACTGAAGGGTCCCGGGTTCGATTCCGGTCAAGGGCAATGTACATTGGTTGTGGGCACATCCCTGGTGGGGGTGTGCAGGAGGCAGCTGTTCGGTGTTTCTCATCGATGCTTCTAGCTCTCTATTCCTCTCCCTTTCTCTCTGTAAAAAATCAATAAAATATAATTTTATTTTATTTTATTTTTTTTTTAAATATATATTTTATTGATTTTGTACAGAGAGGAAGGGAAAGAGATAGAGAGTTAGAAACATCGATGAGAGAAAGTCATCGATCAGCTGCCTCTTGCACACCCCCTACTGGGGATATGCCCGCAACTAAGGTACATGCCCTTGACCGGAATCGAACCCGGGACCCTTCAGTCCCCAAGCCGACGCTCTATCCATTGAGCCAAACCGGTCCCGGCTAAAATATAATTTTAAAAAGTATTACTATAGAACATGTAAGAAGTATATTTTATTTATTTATTTTTTAAGATATATTTTATTGATTTTTTTACAGTGAGGAAGGGGGAGAGATAGAAAGTTAGAAACATCGATGAGAGAGAAACCTCCATCAGCTGCCTCCTGCACACCCCCCACCAGGCATGTGCCGGCAACCAAGGTACGTGCCCTTGACCGGAATCGAACCTGGGACCTTTCAGTCCGCAGGCCGATGCTCTATTCACTGAGCCCAATCGATTTCGGCAAGAAGCATATTTTTAAATTGTTCCCAAAGTTAGGTCTACTTTCAAAAAGATAAAAGACAGCTTCTCACAGTCTCTGAAATACTGTCTTTTATTCCCTAATTACATTTAAACATAGCTATTTATTAATCTTGCCTAACCTGCTACTCAGTCATTTTCTATTCATTAGTCTTTGCTAACAAAATCTGTGTGAAAAACCTTGCAAAACATAATTATACTTTTGTATTCTGTGAACTAGTTTATTATTATTATTATTATTTTTCAACCTATGCCATTTTACTACTTTCAGATTCATACTAAGGTGGAAAGTACCAGGATGCCATTCTAATAATCACGATGTATATTCCCTCTAAGCTGAATTGGCATCTGAATACTGTACACATCACTCCATGCAGCTAATTTGCCTACAGTATTGATTACCTGTTATATGCCAGGCATTATTCTAGGGTCTGAGGATAGAGCATTGTACAAACCAGATAAAAAGCTCTGCCCTCATGCCAAAACCGGTTTGGCTCAGTGGATAGAGCGTCGGACTGCAGACTGAAAGGTCCCGGGTTCAATTCCCGTCAAGGGCATGTACCTTTGTTGTGGGCACATCCCCAATGGGGGATGTGCAAGAGGCAGCTGGTGGATGTTTCTCTCTCATCGACGTTTCTAGCTCTCTATCCCTCTCAATACCTCTCTGTGTAAAATCAATAAAATATATATTTTTTTTAAATAGCTCTGCCCTCATGGAGTTTGCATTCTAGTAGGAAGAGAGATTTTAAATAAATAAAACAATAATGTGTACAATAGTGAATGGGTAGTATTGGGACAAATAAGGCACAGGTGAGGAAGCATCTTTGGTGAGAGGAGATGATGATGATTGGAGTTTTAAATATCAGGTCGCAGAATGCTTCCTGAGGTTGTGGCCTTTGAGCAAATACCTGAAGGAGTGAGGAAGTGAGCCTTGGAGCTGTCTGAGATAAAAATGTTGTCTGTAGAGGGAGCAGCAAGGGTAAAAGGGTAAGAGGATGCAGGGCATGTCTGAGGAACTGCAAGGAGGCCAGTGTAACTAGAAGGAACAAGGGGACAAGGAGTGGCATACGAGGCTCAGAGAAGTTAATAGGGAACCAGATCATATAGAGACTTATGAGTAACTGTGAGGACTCTATTAAGTGAAGAATATGTGAAGTCATTTGTGGGCTTGGAGCAGAAGAGGGAACATATAAGACTAACATTTTTTTAAAATATATTTTATTGATTTTTTACAGAGAGGAAGAGAGAGGGATAGAGAGTTAGAAACATCGATGAGAGAATCATCGATTAGCTGCCTCTTCCACACCTCCTACGGGGAGGTGCCCACAACCAAGGTACATGCCCTTGACCAGAATCGAACCTGGGACCTTTCAGTCCACAGGCTGACGCTCTATCCACTGAGCCAAACCGGTTTCGGCAAGACTAATATTTTAAAAGATCAATCAGCCCTGGTGATGTCGCTCGGTGGTTGAGCATCCACCTAGTAATCAGGAAGTCACAGTTCAATTCCCAGTCAGAGCACGTGCCTGGGTTGCAGGCTCCATCCAAGATGGGGACAGTGTAGAAGGCAGCCAATCAGTGATTCTTTCTCATCATTGATGTTTCCATCTCCCTCTCCACAGCTCTCTGAAATCAGTAAGAATATATTTGAAAAGATCATCTACCCTGGCTGCTGTGTTGAGAATAGACTGTAAAGCAAAAAAAAAAAAGAAGCAGAGAGGTTGTTCCAATAATCTAGATATGATAGAATGGTGGGTGGTACCTGAGTGATAGCAATATAGAGTGATGAGAAGGGGTCAGATTCTGGATCTGTTTTGAAGATAAATACAATAGGATTTGCTGATGGTAATAACTAAAAAAAACAAAAAAACAAAAAAAAGTGAGGGAAGATCAACAAAGAATGATTCTAAGGTTTTATGCCTGAGGAACCAAAAAATTGTCATAGCTTTTTACAGAGATGGGGAAATTTGAGAGAGGCGGGTTTTGGGGAAAGATTAGTCAGGAGTACAGTTTTGGACATATGGATGTATGATGCCTATGAGACATCTAAGTGGTTATATTGAGAAGGCAATTGCACCAAAAGTCTTATATTCAAGGAGAGGTTGGGGCTGAAGATAAATATTTGGAAGCTAATAAATAGATGGATTTATAAATTGTGAGACCCTATGGTAGCATCAAAGGAGTGAAGATAGAAAAGAGGTCTAAGGACTGAGCCTCTTTTCTGCATTGCAACGTTTAGAATGTTAAGGAGATGATCAGTAAAGGAAATAAACAACAGTGAGTATGGAGGAAGAAAAAGTAGGTGCTTGTAATGTTCTAAAGCCAAGCACAGAGTGTATCAAGAAATAATCATAAGCTGTGTCCAGTACTGTTGATAGGTCAAGTCAGATGTGGGCCATGAAATGGGTTATAGCCAGGTAGCGGTCCTTGAAGGCCTTAACAGGGACAGTTAAAGGAGAATAGTGGACAGTGGATGAAAAGAGAATGAAGTGAAACTGGCAACAGGCACTGTGGATACCTCTGCCTAGGAATTTGCAGTGGTAGCAGAAGCAGGATATAGGGTCTAGAAGGTAGTGTTTACAGGGGGAAATAAATCAGTATATTTATAGGTTGAAAGGAGTGATGTAATCCAGTAAAAGAATGTTTGGTGGATGAGAATACAGGGGAGAAGGGAATTGCTATTAAACCATTATTGGTTTTAATAGTGTTTGGTTTGTATTTTTATGAAACTCATGACTAGAAGTTAAAAGATCTGAATATTGATTATAATTTTCCCACTTCGTAGTCATTTAAAATTTAAAATCATACTCATTTAAACGTTTAATGCTTCACTTTCTGCATCTGCAAATATATTTACCTGGCCTACTTCATTATGAACATAAAACAGATATGTTTATGACCATTTTGACAAGGTAAAAAAAACACCCTAATATGCTATTTTAATTTGTTATTGGTCATTTGCGCTCCATAGATCTTTTCTTCATAGCATAAAATATGTCAAATTGATAGAGGAAACTTCTTTTTTAAAATTCAAGTGACCACATTTTTGTATTTTCAACAAAACAACTCATTTAAGTACAAGTAATTGTGTTTTATAAAAAAGCTTTTCTATAAATACATTTTATGTGTTAAAGCTTATGCATGGAGCTGTATAACCTTGGGAAGTTTTACCAATAAATTGCACATTTTGAAATATATTCACTTTATTTTCTTAATAATATTAAACAGTAAGGGGAAAAAAGATAATTTTAAAGTGGTATTGGCACAGTTGATATACGTTTGAGAAGAAAACTTAATTTAAGTCATTGCTTCATAGCATTTATCAAAACAGATTTCAGTTTAATTAAAAATAATTCAATATTTTTTCAATGTCAGTCAAACTGTTATTTAAAAAATTAGAGAAGTGGCTCTAACCAGTTTGGCTCAGTGGATAGAACCTCAGCCTGTGGACTCATGGGTCCCAGGTTCGATTCTGGTCAAAGGCATTTATCTTGGTTGCATGCACATCCCCAGTAGGAGATGTGCAGAAGGCAGCTGATTGATGTTTCTCTCTCATCAATGTTTCTAACTCTCTCCCTCTCCCTTCCTCTCTGAAAAAAAAAAAAAAATCAATAAAAAATTAGAGAAATGGCTATCTTGGCTGGGGAAGAGTTTTTAAAGTTGGTATGTTAGAAGAAATTACATTAAAGGAAAGAAAAACCTGATTTTGTAAAAAATACTTAACTTCTACATTTCAAAAGGGCAAAGGAGAAAAAAAAATTTTGCAGAAATATGGCAAAAGATTAGTATCTTAAAAACCCTAAAATAGACAAATGAAATAAGGGTGTCCCCAAAAAAATGTATACACATTTTAATAGCTGATAGCTCAATTTTTTAAATGAAATTTATTTTAATAAACACTATCTTTATGATTATTCAAAGAACTAGAGGCCTGGTGCACAAACTTGTGCACCAGTGGGTTCCTTTGGCCTGGCCTGCAGAATTGGGCTGAAACCAGCTTTCTGAAATCCTCCAGGAGGGTCCCAGATTGCAAAAGGGCACAGGCCAGGCCAAGTGTACAAATGGGGTTGGGGAGGGATGGTGGGAGAGCTCCAGAGAATGTCTGGCTCATCTGACTCA